TCAAAAGGTCTAATTATAGCCACAGACAGTTTGACAGGCATAAAGTGCTGCCCCAGGAAATTTCAATTGCACATTCTGGTTTACCTGGCAGTTGCTGCTGCCCATGACTGCAAGATCTGAGTAACCTGCTGCAGTGTCCAAAGACAATCCCATTACCAGCTGTGAGAAAATCTGGTCATAATTTTTGTGTAAATGGGAAATGCAAGTTGCCTAAGACATGAGATATATTGTATATACCATGTTATGTTTCATGTTCTGCTTAGATACAGTAACTGCATTTTTAAGAAAATGCAGAAAATCTTTTTAAGAAAAAATACATAAAAAAGTAGGGTGTACAGCAGTGATATTAGATAATCAAAGCTTCTTTCTTTCTTTCTTTCTGTCTTTCTGTCTTTCTGTCTTTCTGTCTTTCTGTCTTTCTGTCTTTCCGTCTTTCCGTCTTTCCGTCTTTCCGTCTTTCCGTCTTTCTCCTCCCTCCCCCCAAAAAGTATCCCATGTTTCTATTCCTTTTATGTTGAAAGAACTGCTTTAAAGCTGGATACTATTTGACAAGTCAGCTTTTTTTTTTGACAATATTGTAATAGTCAAAGAGTCAAGGGGGCAGGAATTGTTGCTTCTGAGATTCAGTTTTTTCTCCTTAGCACTTAAAAGCCAAAGCAGACACAGGCCTAAGGAGCATCATGTCCAGTAAGAACAGCAGAGAAAACAAACATACCAGAAGCAATAGGTTTGCATTAACCAAGAAGCATTAGCCTAGTAGGGAGTATGCTGACCCACCAAAGGCACTTCTGGTCTATAGACCTGCATGATGATGCATTGCACAATGGCCGTATATCCTAATCCTGTGCCAGAGATGGTAGAAATGAAAATTTTCTTTTGGGGGGAATTTCCTCTTCAAAAAAGGTTCCGTGTTTTAAGTTGGAGCAGGTCAAGCCTGCCAAACATTTCCCCTGTGATCCCCCTACCTGAACATCCTACCATCTCCTTTGTGCCAGGCAGAAGGAGGCCTCCGGTGACTGCTACCATATCCTCAGAATAAGGTCAGGAAGGTCAGTCACTTCTATTCATGATGTCTGTTGTCCATAGAGCCAAGATATGTCTGTAGATTGTCCATTCTTTAGGATCTCCCACAAGGAACAAGATATGACTCTTAAAATAATGGTTGTAGCTAGTGCTGCTGGATGYTAAAGAATTAATTGAGCAACTTTGTTGGGAATATTTACTTCTTTATGCTGTTGAGGAGTTGTTTATCTGTGGTTCTTTGTGGGGATCTGTTTTTGTTACTGTTCCATTGCTGGACTTTATTTGGACATTCTGTCCATTTATAAAAAATTAAGTTTTGAGTTCAGGTATGTAAGCCTTTGTAAAGTGAGTATTTAGACAACTTATATGGGGTAATTCAAGGCTCAGATTCTAGAATCTGGTAATCCTCTCCTCTGCATAAGAAAGTGGTAACTTAGCAGTAGATGCCAGGACTGCTGTTAACAGACAGACCTGAACTGCAAATGCCTCGTAATAGAATATGAAATTTGAAATGGGTAAGTACATTTAAGGGTTGACTTAATTCTTACGGCCTCTACAGTCAGCTTAGGCTGGGATGTAATAGTTGCTTCGGTTATCTGGATTGAGCAAAACCCATAGAAAATCCTTACTTATTGTAGGACTCACTTTTGCCAAAACTGATCTTTCCTTTCTGCRGTACTCCTTACACTTCACATAGTTACATGCTAGAAAAATGTGGAGGAGACTACTGCCTCCTTGTGCTGGTGTCCTGACACCTTACATGCTGCTGTCTAAAACCTTGTCTTTGTGATGCTAGTGGGACTTCACCCCTATGAAGAGGCAGTTTGAATACTGATAGAAGAGAGATTGCCAGTATTGAAAGATGATTGCAGATATGACACCCAAATAATTGTCTGAAGCTATGTGTAGATACAAGTCATACAAGCACAGTCAAAAACCCCTCCAGATACTCATGAACCCAGATGCAGTGATTCAACAGGCTCTGTTGCTYGCCTGGATATGGAGGATACTGTGAGATGGCAGAGCAGAAACATGAAACTCAAATAATGAGATGTCAAAATGAAATTTGTGCCTTTATCAGATGGATGAGATGATTTGGACTGAAAGAAGGCAACGCTATTCATGTCGCTCAAAGGCTGGGTCAAGTTCAGTGTTTTAGACCTGACAAAAGCTTCATTGACAGCATTTGAGCAGCATTAACTGCATGGAAAAGGCTGGAAAGGAAAGAGTTGGTGGGGCAATTGGATCTCGACCTCTGTGATATCTGAGATATCTGATAGCTGTCTCTGTTTGCCAAGGACAGTGTATTATTCTGATATGTGTGAAGCTACTGATTGGACTTTCCCCGTGTGCTTGAAAAGGTACCAAGTTGGGAGGACATAACATGACCCCAAATGTTCAGAATTTAAGAAAGAGGGGTACTTTCAAAATCTGCACATCTGCTTGCACTGTGTTTAATACTCTCTGAGCATTAGCTCTATGGCTTGGCTGTGGAAAAGATAGGAAATAGGTTGATGTTAAAGGTAGAAATGAACCAATATGTAGAACACTGACTTTGACATTTTCCAGTTGAAGTAGYGACTTAGTGAGTTCAGCTGCGTGTCTGTGCAGGTAGCACTTTTTGCAGACACATTCCAAAATATTTGGATTGGATTTGCCTTCAACTGGCTTGTGTGATTCAACAGAGGAATTACAGTCCATTAATTGAATGCATACTCTCGATTCCTTTCCTTGCTGCAGTAAGCCAGCCCAAGATAGGCATTTTGGGAAGGAAGCATGTTCTCCTCCTTTTTTTTTCCAGATGCAACTCTCTTTGCTAGAGGGATGTGATGAAGTCCCCTACACCGTGTGATTCTTGCAGCAGTCTCAGCTCTGTCTCTTCTGAGTCTGCTGTTAGTCACTCTGGGGGTGCTTATTTATTAACGTGGTGTGAGTGATGGTGGCTGAGGACACACCAAAGTGCAAGAGAGGCTATCATGGGATTGGATGGAATATGATTCACAGAGGTGGCGGGGASCCTGGGGAAAAGAGATCTCTTGGGAGATTTCTTGCTTGTCCTAGGCCTGTCATTCAGTGATCTCAAGGTTTCTGGGCTTTGGGCTGCTCTTCCCATCATTTTCTGTGGAGAGGGCAGGGTTGGCAGATCTTTCTCCCAGGCCGTGCTGCCTGCCTCTTGTTGCTGCAGACCACAAGCCTAGAAATAATATGAAGCAGATGCACCAGTGCCAAGGTTGGGACCTTCCTGGTGTTTAAGGGATATGTATACTGTTGAAATGGTACAGAATGRCCTTAGTGTACAATAGAAGCCAAGCCACACACATTCACACAGAATAAATATTTGACAAAATGTATTTTTGTGTTCCCCCAAATGGCCACTGTAAAAGCAAGGTCCTGTTTACCTTCCAGGCTCTCCTTGCATGGTATTCTAAGAGACAAGCTCTCTTCTCCATTCATTGCCTTCCCGCTCTTTTGGATGACCCATTGCCAAGCAAGCATCAGGGATACTGGCTTTGCTAAACCCCTAGCTCTTTGAATGTTAATGATCCTGCTAAAATTTAGGAAAAATTGAAGRTGTTTTTGTTCTGGAGTCATTTGCCTTGACAAGGCACAGTGACCTGAGAAACAGTACAAGCCTTCAGTGCATAGCCTGAAGTGTTTGTCTGTAGGTGTATAATTTTTGTGCCATCCATGCCCTAGTCTGCATGTCCAGCCATCCCCATCCTGTTGCCAGTGGCACAGGTCTCTAGTGAGCATGCAGCAGGCATAGATGTGCAGAAATTACAATAAGGAAAATTATTTGGTGTGATTTGTTCTCTCCTCCCTACGTAACTGAACATGTTTCCTTTGCACTTCTGGATCTTGTTATCTTCTGTGCCTTGATACCAGAGCAGCTGAATAGCATAGGGCTGGATGAACGTGAGGCGCTGAGCACTCAACCTGCCAAATGCTTCTGAGCACTTCCTATTGCAAGATCACAGAAATCTCTGGGTTTGCCCTGCAGTGACTGCTGGCTTTGCCTCTCTTATTCCTATTACCTTGAACTGTTTCATTTCTGTCCGTGTTGATCCTTTTTTAATTAAGAGCAATCTAGCTTTTGATCCCCTCACACATAATACAAAGGAATAGGAGAGTTAGAGTTTCCTGCCAAGTGAGCATATGTCCGATGATTGCTGTGCTTTTTATTTCTTTTGTGTAAGATAACCTTCAGTGAAAACAGTGTTTAAATAAAATCAACCTATGATTACTTAGCTTGGCAAGAAGAATGAGAGGAGAAATACAAAGGTCTATAAAATAGCGATTGCACTAATGAAACCCATCCTGTTCTTCCTCCTTTTATTGCTCATATCACAAGATCAGAACGCACTAAGCAATTAGAAGACAACTAGTGCATAATAGGCAGTGGAAATAGTTTATCTGTAACACATCTTAGACAAGCAGAAACCATTATTACCAAAATTCTTAAGGCAAAACCTGGAAATTATGATTTTTGGYTTTAAAATTAGATCCGAGAATGAAAAGGGTGTCTGTAAGAACACATATCTGTCACTTGAAAAAAAAAAAAATTGCCAGACTGATAATCTTTGCAAGTCTGGCTTATTAGAAAGCCTAGCAGGGACTGATAGGCAGTTTCCTCTCTCTGGCCTGATGTTCCAGGGGCATGGTAAGATCACCTCCCTGAAACATCCAGGGAAGGTCACTGAAGAAGTTTCACACTGGAATGGCTGATGGCCTCATTGCCATTGGTGTTCCTAGGACCTTTTTTAAGGGCTTTATTCTTTCACATTTCTAACTGTRACCCGAAGAATTGCTGTCCCTCCTTCCTCATCCTTTACACATGTATGTTTTCATTTCAGCCTCTCTGGTTAGCTGACACTTTGCTGATGACACTGTCATGTTGAATGCCCTTTTTTAACAGCTTTGCTTCCCCGGAGATGTTTCAGTCCTCTCACCAACACAAGGGGGTATAGAGTGAGTACATGTACATCCAGAATGTACATAGCTGGAAGGAGAGGGAACCACTTCCCACGGCCATCGTCTTCTCCAGCTCTAGCGAAATGCTCTGGCTGCGAGTGTGGGGGCTGCAGGACTTGCAACACGTCTGTCAGCAGTGACAGAGGTAAAGATGATGCTGGGGATCAGAGGCAGCAATGGCAGTATGAGAGAAAATGAATCTCCTGAGAACTTGAGCTCCAGCAGCTCTTGCTCCAGCCAGTCCTGAGTACTCTGGAGAACAGAGCAAGCCCTTACTAGGAGGAGATGCCTGGGGTCTATCTTTGCAAGGGAAGCTGCTAAGCAAGACACATTCTGCAGCCTCTCTCTCTTCCCTGAACAGATTTTTGTGACTCTGCTCCTTCCTTCCCTGCCTGTGTTGGTAAGACTTGGGGTCACTGAGCAGACCCCCTCTCACAGCTGTCCAGAATTTCCTGGCTAGCAGAGACAGGACACATGTTTTCCAAGAGAGGATACTCGGTGGGCTCACCTCGCCTGCATATAGCCTCGGAAASAGGCTGGTTTCACCTTGTCTGATTTCTCTCTTTGTAGCTGTCCCTCCCAAGCTGAAGAAACTGAAGAGCCCAAATGTGCACGTGGGCGAGAAGATTTCGCTGAAATGTGAGGCGACTGCTGGCAACCCTCAGCCCTCCTACAAATGGTTTAAAGATGGCAAGGAGCTGAAGAAGAGCAAAGACATCCGCATCAAATATGGGAATGGCAAGTAAGTATGCTACATAGAGAGCATGGATAGCTGCTAGCTGATGCTGAGTGCCTGGGTGCTGTGGGACCGAAGTTCCCATGCTGCTGGAGTTGGTGCTGTGCTGTCTGAGTCACTGCTGGACCCTCCCAAAGTGCTCCCTTGCAGTCACAGCACCAAAGCAGGCTGCTTAGTGCGCTCAGGACTGAGAGAGATTCAGGTGCTTTTTCTTCAGAGTGGCCAAACCCCGTTTTGCCTGCAGTGGATAGAAAGCGAGGAGCAAGGAGGGCGCAGGACAGACATCAACTGTGTAGGATGAGACTCCCCTCATTTAATGGATGCCTGTGGTACATCCTGGAGAGCCACCTGAGTCGCTATGCTTTAGAGATAACATCTGTGCCTTCTTTAGTTAAATGATTTCCTTTAGAAAAATATTTGAGAAAGTTAGGTGTTTCGATAACTGTTGTCCATTTGGGAAGGTCCATGACTAGACCCCGCAGCAGGCCACAGCAGGAGGCCATAGCAATTGATCCAAGATAGCTAGTAAATAAAAGTATTCAATGTAAAATAATTTTCTTTATGTTTTCTTTATCTATAATGCTGTAAAATCCAACAACTGACCAGGAAATGGGGAATAGCTGCAGAAATCTTACCAGAGACAGGAACCAGGGAAGAGAGGATCTCACTGGAAACTGGTTTAAATAGATCCCTGCTGATATTTTTCAAGACCAAATACTTGCATATGTTATATTCTAAAATTAGTATGTAATTGTGACCATGCTTAAATTAATATATTTCACCTAGCCAGTAACAAAAACAATCTGCAACTGTATGTTACCTTGGCGTCTTAAAAGTAATTCTTTGCTAACATATGTTATGGCTGAGTGTGTGGAAAAAAAAGCTTATCTCTGCCTATGGAGAATGGAGTTAGTTTTCGTTTTAATGATACCCTTATAATGGTTATCCTCCTTTGTAATAAGGGCAGCAGGATTAGTGGCAGTTTTGGGACAAGACAGAGAAGGTGTCAATAGAAAGTTTAGGCTAATAGCATCAGCAGTCATGACGACTGAATCACATCTAGTGGATGCTGTCTGCTCAGGAACGGCTGCCTAGGCTTCCAGACAATGCAGAGAGGGCAGAAATGTGTCTACCTCTTTGCACTGGGATCCTGACTCTTGCCAGCAGCTCCTCTGAGTTCACAGGATCTTCATTGCCTCTGGGCCACCTCCTGCCCATTATTAAGCTGTAGCAGTATGGCATCCCACCCACAGCGTGGCCGGGATGGAGAGAGGACACACAATCCCTGCAGCAGGGACACAGACATATGGAAGAAGGTTGATACTCTTTCCTCAGGACACTGCTGTCAAGTCCTTGTTTTGCATTTACTAGTTTCTATGGCAACGTTTTGGCTCACAGCCCACTAGTGACAGACCGAAAACATGTTGTGTGCRAGAAGTGCTTCCTGCTGGCAAAACAAGCCCAAGGATAAACATTTTAAAGAAATCTGAGCACCTGCCTCTTCCAGGATCTAAGGCCCTCCCAGCATCAAAGGTCTAGCCCCTAAGTGTCCCCTGTTGCTCTGCCCTCCAGAATTGTTTCCCATTCTTGCCTCTACTCTCTACTTYTGGTAAACCAAACCATTAAACAGGCAGGTTTCCTGCACAGAGCAGACACCTGGCCATGGGAGCTGGGCTCATGTAGTCGTCCAGCCAGCCCCTAGCCCTGAGATGATAAGTCTTTGCCCACTGTTGAGCAGACCATAGYGCAGGACCACTTCTCCAGGCAGATGGACCCTGTCCAGAATCTTCGCTTTAGTGTCTCCAGAGGGTTTGCTGGATTTCAGTACTTGAAGATACCTTGAGTGCAGAGTGCTTGAACGACCTCATTCTGGACTTGCACGCAAGCAAAAAGTCAGGTTAACAATTGCTCTGTGCTAATGCAGGCTGAGGGTTGAGGGAACAACTTTGTACATCTCTGTTAAACAGCTAGCGCATCTGTTACTAGATGAACTTCAGCAAGTTAGGAGAGGTTTCCAGCAAAGGAAAGGCATTCTAAACTATTAAGTTTAGAAAGAAGGTCTTAGTAGATGATAAGTAATTCAAGAGTAACAAGGTTTAGGTACCTGGCTTCACTTAGAGATAACACTGATCTCCAGATAATCCTCTGTTCTGAATGAAGTGACGTTTCTCAAAAGGGCTAGAAGGCAAGGGACCCTCACTGGAAAGCACACCTGGGAAAAAAGACATCACAGTCTCTACAGCGCCTGCTTATGCACACAAGATGATTTCTTTAAAAGTTTGATCCAAAGTCATATTAGCCTTGCTTGCTGGAGCCAGGCAGGTTGAGCACTGCCAGGAAGCAGAGGTGTTGTCCACAGTGTTTCCCTTGGCCCTGTCAGTCCTCAAAAAAGCTGCGCATAGGTCTGAATCCAACTATTCATTTGCAACCTTAGAGTTCCTAGGCAAAATGCAGGGAACTGGGATGGGGCGACAAGACTCTAATGCTCTGTGCCTCAGTTTCTTTCTTGTAGAATGGAAACTGCCCTGTATATAAAAAACGAAAAAAAGAAGAAAAAAAGAGATCTCTGACTAAAAAGGGTCCCCTTTCACCCTGATATGACTGATATTTTTATCTGGTCCTAAAATTGAAGATCTTATTGAGGAGAGAATCAGTTAGGTGCTTCCTCTACCAGGTAACTACCTCTACCAGACAAGGCAACTTTTGAATAAGCATTTTCTGGAGGGAGGGGAAAAGAACCTGATTCCTCCTTTCTGAACTTCATGTTCCCTTTGTAATTCAGAACAGGCTGGGGCAAGCCTGGGTTGGGCAGAAAAGGAAACTTCTCTTTAAAGTGGAAGAAATTATTGACTGGAGCTTTATCTCATGTTCAATTTAAATAAGACACAGAGACCTAGAGATAATACCCAGAAAGAAATATACACTTYAGTGAAAGCAAAGGGAAGCGAGAACTCTCCTTCTCTGCTGCCAGAGAGATGCTATTTTCTGCTGAGTACATATGAGATCTGATCTGGGCTCCTGGATCCCAAGAAATCAAAGATGAATTTTGAATCTCTGACTGTCCTGGCAAATAGTAGAATGACAACTATGGAGAGAATCAAGGAGTTTCCATTTGCTGAAGAGGAGGTTACCCTGACATCGTTGCAACTGCTTCTGCAGTGCTCTGCCCTTAGAAATGTAGGTTGTTAATTGAGCCTAGAGGGGGGTCCAAGCACTTGGTGGTCTCCTTTCTGTTCTGCTTTTCCAGTCACTTCTCTTCGTATGATTTCTAACCATGGGAGATCACTGGGATGATGAAGCAGGCATATCATTAGATTGGAGAGGGTTGTCAGTTCAGTTTGGGACAGGCTGACCATATAACTTCCCTTGAGAGTACTGCCCTACTTTCAGTATCACCAAGAATCCCTATTGTTAGCCTGTAAGTGGAGCCAAGGGATGCCCTCCTCTCCTGTTTCTGTACAGTAGTCCCTTAGGCAATGCCAGTTGGGGCAGATTCATTGCTGGGGTCTTCCTTGCAGAGCTCCCTGCTGTAGATTATTCCCCACCCACAATGAATGGGGCTGTGGTCTTCCTTGTACAGCTCACTGCTTTGGAATGAAGGCAAGAAATAATAATGCCAAAGCAGCAGGGGAAAGAGAGTGCCAATAAAGATAAATGATTTCCTAATTAAGCCTGGAGACAAGGAGGGGCAGAGAACTGTTGAAGCCTTGTGGGAGCCAGAGTGAACCCAGGCAGGCTATACCACCACTCTGGCAGGGGTCTTCAGGCTGACATTTTTAAACAAAGGGAAAAACTCATTTGACAGTGGATCTTGCAAGACCAATTCCAGATGCCTTGAAGCTAAGACTCTTCTCAAGCACCGGTGTTGTTATAAACACCAGGGGAGCTTCTGTCTTGCTAACTCTCACGATGTTATTATAAGTCTGCGATATTTGGGGTTTGGTTTAGCTGCTGAAGGCACTTTTTTTGGAGGGTGTGGGTAGAAGACAGCATCTCCTTTGTTTGTCTGTTTGTTTTTAAGGCGATGATGGACATCATTTTGGCCAGCTCAGCTGGGGCTGAACCAGGGAACTTGAGAACTGAAAGCACAACCAGTTGGGTCTTGAGCTAGAGCAACCCACAAAGCTTGCAAGTTGGGGCTCCTCAGAGATTCAGGGAATGGGCATTTATCAAACACAACTAAGTTACAGTGGCTAACAAGTTATGGCGAGAAAATAAGCCACTTTAACTAATGGTGCATGCAATTGTAACCATGGAGGGAGGTTTATATGCTTAAAATGTTGTCTCTTTTTTTTTTTTTTTTTGAGTGATGTTAGCTGGTCAAATAAAAGATATTTCCTCCGTCTATAGACCTTAGGCCACTGCAGTTGCAAAATGTCACAGATTAGCTTGAAGCACTCTTGTTGAGACATGAGCTAAAATCACATTCATTACAGTTTAACTCAAAATGCTTTACCTAGCACTTAGAGGAGGAGGACTGGGACCAGACCTGAGATTTGCAGGCAGTTCATATGGGACAGTGCACTGCATGCCTACAGTCAAGTATTTAGCAAGTCCTCCTGCATTTCATAGATCAGACACAAACAAGGATCTGTAACACARACTCACCAAAAAGAGACTCAGGAAAAAATAATGACTTGAATTGTATCCCAAAGACTTGACACTTAGAAAAAAGCCTCACAACTGTAACTGCATCACTTGCAAAGTCCTGTGTAAGAGGACCACTTTTGCAGAGGTTTTGGAAGGATAGCTCTCTGCCCTTCTGGAGCTATCAAGCCTTTAACCTTATATATCTTTTCACAAAAAATATTTTTTTCTAGTCTCATAATTCTTATTTGCAGCCTGACTCTGCTCATGTCCATTCCAGTTCTGCTCCACATAGGTTCTCCATAGTCCACTGCTTTTAGCATGGTATCTCCTTTTATTCCTCCCAATTCTTTTTAAAATACTTGGTTTGCTCTCAAGGTCCTCTCCAGACTTCTTTACCCCTTCTCTCAATATCTCAA